TAGATCTAGTGGTAAACTGGTGCCTTTTGATAGTTTGGCATTTTTAAAAACAATATTTTTTTAGTTTCCATGGCAACGACTTTAATTTAGACTGAAAATGGCGGTAGTCCTCGTTTCCGGAGCAGATCTTGAAAACCGTACCATTTTTCTTCACCATATTTTGCACATTGATAGGTCTAGTGGTGAACTGGTTCCTTTGGATAGTTTGGGATTTTTTTAAAAAGTTATTTTTCGAGTTTCCATGGCAACGACTTTGATTTAGACTGAAAATGGAGGTAGTCCTCGTTTCCGGAGCAGATTTTGAAAAACGTACTATATTTATTTACAAAAAGGCCCAGTGAACATAGTTCACAGAAGCTAATGCATTGCACACACCCGACATGTCATATTGGCGGGGGATGTGCGTATTTCACGCTTGTTTTCTTATCTTTTGCTTTTGAGAAAGGTATAGTTAAATGTCTTATCAATTACAAATTAACTAATTCTTACCAATATCTAAAATAATCGTCAATTGGCTTAAGTTAGGCTAAATATGAACAATGATTTATTGCAAAACCACAACAACCGTCATCGGTAGAAATATAGATCAGTTCATATTTCTGTTATAACGGCAGATGCTGGGATTGTGGTGTGCGTAGTATGTTCGTATTATGCTATAATGGTGTACTTTACGTTATGTAAAGGTGAGGATAATTTAATGTTAAATTTAAAACCGTACCACTGTTTTCCAAAATATACTAAACAACAAAAGTTCCTGTGACATTGAATAAGATTTAATGCAAAGTTATGTTTTTTACCAAATCTGAAACTATTTCGGTTTGCAACAGATAAAAGACTCCTGTAAGTGTTCAAATGGTTTCATTTGCCATACTGACGCTGTCTGCCCCACTGTAGACGTGCTTGGTGGTGGTTTCCTGTCAAAATGGGACGTCTGGTGGGTCTTTTGGCGACAATCCCCGCACATCTTAGGCGACGACGTACGGTTTGTGAAGATATTCGTCGAAGGCCAGGGATGCTTTTTGCAGTAACTGTTGCTGGCTGGAATCGATTTCGTGGGTGTGTTGTTCGAATCCAGTTGTCTTGTCGATTATTGGTTACGCGTGGCCTGCCACTCCGAGGATTGTCTCTGACTGCATTCGTCTGTTGCCAACGTTGCCATAAACACCAAATGGTATTTCTGTGGACGTTAAATTGTCTTGCAACATCACGTTGACTCGATCCTGCTTCAAGCATACCAATGGCTCGCAGACGCCCATTTTCGGACAGGCGTGGCATTTCGTAATGTTGAATAATTGCGTAATTTTGTTGTTTTTCTGAGTAGTTGTTGTCAGCACGATGCTAAACAATGCATATGGAATCCCGTTAACGTACATGTTTTATACCCATTCTTGGGTAGTAAAATGCATGGGGCTTACATAAAAGTCAACTTTTGCATGGAATGCATGCTTTTCTGTAGCAGTGGCGTTTTTGTGATTCCATACATGTACTACAATTTTGAAAACCAAACTTTACTTGTTTGAAAAATACACTTACATATTGGTGTCACAGGAACTTTTGTTGTATACTTGAATTGTCCAAATAATTAAGTTGAATACATAACTTTGAATGACACGCTGTATCGAATCGCCTTTACTATAGTTATCGTTCATGTCCTTATTCTTCACAAATTGTGACCGCCTCCGTGGTCTAATGGTAGAGCGTCCGATCGGAGAGCGGGAGGTCCGGGGTTCGATCCAAAAGACGTTAAAAGATGGTACTTGTTGTTACCCTGTCTGGCGCTCGGCATTAAGGGGCTAAAACAAGGACTGGTCGGCTCGGAGTCAGTATACTGTGTCTGAGTTGGGTATTCATGTTAAACTGCGGCATGGTATCTCAGTGAGCAAACACTATAAATCGGCATCAGTCCGGACTAGTACAAGCAGCCATACACATACACACACGTGCATGCACGTCGCTATATAAGTGCAATAATCTTGGACGCGACGTTAAACCCCATTTCACCTCACCTTCACCTCTTCACAAATTGATTACTGTGGCCTTAATAATGAATATAATGCGTGACTTAAACCAATTCTTTATTCATTTTTAATCAGAAAACTTATGTGGCCAAGCTCAGACAATATATTGCTGAACCGCAAAAGAAACGTCACCATGGGTAGATATATGAGAAACCTTAGTTGTCCAAACACTGTAAACATACTGAGACATTAAAAAGATGAAACGTGAAAAAACTGATCATCAAGGTTAAAATAAAAGTGTCAAATATCCTTAAAGTGAAACACAACACTTGTCTCTGAGAAAATGGCAATACAAGTGAGTATCACGTGTGTCCGCAATGTGCATTGATGACTGCCGTGCAACGTCGATACATGAAATGGATGAGGCGACTTGAGCCCACCCTCTGAGGAACGCCTGGCGCAGTTCAGCTGCAGTTGTCGGCCTTGGTCGGACGTCAATCAGCCGTCTTTGAATCTCGTCCCACAGGAGCTCAATTTAAATCAGGACTGACGGTAGGCCACTGCATGGTTCTGATGCCATTCTGCTGGAGGAAGTCTCTTGTTGCTCTAGCAGTGTGGGCTCGTGCGTTATCATGCTGATACTTGTGGTTGCGGCGACGTGCCAAATGAGGTATGGCGTGTGGTCTCAAGACTTGATCAATGTACCGAGCTGCTGTGACACTATTGCCACTCCCTTGACCGATGTTCTGGAAGACCACAGGGCCGACCCTCTGTGCAAAACCAATTCCACCCCACACCATGATGCTGGGACCACCCCACGAGTCTCTCTCAACAACACAAGCATCCGAATAACGTTCCCCACGGCGTTGTCAGACTCTCTCTTTCTGCCATCTGTCGTTGAGATACAGTAACGGCTCTCGTCTGAGAAGAGGACTCTTCTCCACTGCTGGTGGTGCCAATGCTGGTGCTGTGTTGCCCACTGAAGACGGTCCCGGCGATGACGCGGTGTCAGAATGGGTCCTCGGTGTAGCCTGTGACGGTGGAGGTGTTTGCTCGTCAATCGTCGACGCACGGTGTCCGCACTAATGTGTCGCTGGTGTGTCCCCTTGGTCTGTCGAGCAGTTTCCGCAGCAGTAACAAAGCGATCTTGAAGATGCTGTCGCACAATCTGACGATCCTGACGTCGAAGGGTGACCCCAGTTCTTCCACTACGTGGTCGGTCATCTATAGTGTTGGTGGTCTGGTCTGGTACCGTTGCTGGAGCCTGTATATGGTCCTCATGTGGACCGGTTTTATTGTCATCTGCTTTGTTTTTTTATCATCAAATTTCATTTTTCCAGACAAGGTAATGTTAAATTTTAGAAACTTTGACAAAAATTACCCAGATATTTAAATGACAACTTTTCATACAATGTTACTTGGGGTGACGTTTCTTTTACGGTTCAGTATATACAAATGTATTAATATGGGCCTATTATCGAATTGTTTGGGGCATATATTAATTGTTGTTACTTTACCTTGCCCATAACGAGTTTCTGTTAGATTACAAGTATATTGCCAAATGAAAACTATGTTTACATAGCATATTAGAACTGTGTAGAAATTATCTGTTATAATTATGTAGTTTCTGCTGTCAAAATATCTTTTTCAGAAGTACCCACAACATCAGTCTTCAAATTTCGCGCTATTATGTTTGGTGAGCCAACTGCGTATTTTCAGCCATTTAGGCGACTCATTCAATTCTGCACGCGAATGAAATCTACTTCCGCTCGCCTTTGGTAAGGTTTTTCCATATTTGGGAAATGTGATTTCGATAATTTGGTGAGTAAGTGACAATAATCGAATTAAGATGACTTGTACATGTGTACAAATATGATGTCTATCGATCTACTGTCAGACGTGTGTTTGACAATAAGCTTTTCATTAACAAACCGACCTGGAAGTCAAACAAAACCGACAAGATGGCCAGTGACGTTCTCTTCTTACATAATCGTATATATTTTTATTAATGACCAATAACGAGTTCCTGTTGCGCCACCATGTCAAGAAACATGACGGACACTTTATCAACAGTTGATGTATTAATGTAGAAAGACGTTAGAATGGGTGGTTACAAAACTCCCTTGGCCTTTTCCCCATTGATAACACCAGTAGCGCTATAGGTAGGGCTGGGACGAGTTCAAATTAACTACCCGGGTACCGACCCTACCGGGTACCCGCTGTAGGTCTCGAAAGATAGGTACAAACTGTCCGATTGGGAAAAGTTTGCCCTCTCAAAATGTATTTTCTATTTAGATACACGTGGTCATGCATACACTAAAGTTTACTGCTTGAAGTTTTATCTTTGTTTAAACATATACAAGTCAGAAGGAATGGGTGCATAGTCAGAAAGAAATGGGAACATTAGTGACTTGTTGTGCTTGTGAGCAAAAGCTTCAGTAGTCTGTGAGCTGGTATCCTTTATCTAAGATTGAAATGGATAAGAAATTTACTTAAAATCCTTTATAACTGAATTAAGATATTACAATTGAAGAAACAGCCTTCTTCAATATACAAGTAACATTAGGACTTTAAAAAAATGAGTTAACTCAAGTGGTCGTGGTGGCACATTGTTATCATGAAATCGTATACACAGAACTGAACAACCAAATTAATGAAATGTCATTATCATCATCTTTGTTTCAGCAATTTTTTTCCATTCCGAAGGATCATGCAAAAACCATTGCCCTTAAAAACTAGCATGATACCTACTGGATATGAAAAATCACTGTGCTATGATATCATCTGTGTGTTGACTGTTGGGAGAACTTTTACAGTTTCAGGTATTTTATCATGATACAAATCATATTATCAGATAGTGTGTGGTCCCAGCCCTGGTTATTGATTTTCTGGTAGAAACATCTTAAGGAAATGCATTAACATGATGAAGGAAGTGACAACTCTGTTATGTTTTCAGTGAACACCTTAACATTCACAAGGTAATTAATGGAAACATGAAACCAACCACAGAATCCTTCCTCTGTTACTGACACAGGTGTAATCATGAACTGCGAGAGAGAATTGCTGGAAACAGGTGATCTCCAGAAAGAACCTGTCACTGACACAGGTGTAATCATGAACTGCGAGAGAGAATTGCTGGAAACAGGTTATCTCCAGAAAGAACCTGTCACTGACACAGGTGTAATCATGAACTGCGAGAGAGAATTGCTGGAAACAGGTGATCTCCAGAAAGAACCTGTCACTGACACAGGTGTAATCATGAACTGCGAGAGAGAATTGCTGGAAACAGGTGATCTCCACAAAGCACCTGTCACTGACACAGATGTAATCATGAACTGCGAGAGAGAACTGCTGGAAACAGGTGATCTCCACAAAGCACCTGTCACTGACACAGATGTAATCATGAACTGCGAGAGAGAATTGCTGGAAACAGGTGATCTCCAGAAAGCACCTGTCACTGACACAGATGTAATCATGAACTGCGAGAGAGAATTGCTGGAAACAGGTGATCTCAAGAGAGAACCTGTCACTGAAACATGTGTTTTCACTGACTGTGAGAGGGAATTGCTGGAAACAGGTGATCTCAAGAAAGAATCTGTCACTGACACAGGTGTATTCAACGACTGTGAGAGAGAATTGGTGGAGACAGGTTATTTCAAGAAACACAAAGATAGTGGTTCAGCAAAGCAGTCATATAAGCATGATAAGTGTAGTGTGTGTGAGAAAACATTTACACTATCACATACTCTACAGACACACATGAGGATTCACAGTGGAGTCAAGCCTTATCAGTGCGGTGAATGTGGGAAAGAATTTACACACTCAAGTAACCTGCAGGAACACATGCGAATTCACAGTGGAGTCAAACCTCATCAGTGTGTTGAATGTGGGAAAGGATTTGCACTATCGGGTACTCTGCAGAAACACATGAGGATTCACAGTGGAGTCAAGCCTTATCAGTGTGATGCATGTGGGAAAATGTTTACTCAGTCAAGTAACCTGCAGAAACACATGAGGATTCACAGTGGAGTCAAGCCTTATCAGTGTGTTGAATGTGGGAAAGAATTTACACGGTCACATGACCTGAAGTCACACACGATAAGTCACAGTGGAGTCAAGCCTTATCAGTGTTTTGAATGTAGGAAAGTATTTACACACTCAAGTAACCTGCAGAAACACATGAGGATTCACTGTGAAGTGAAGCCTTATCAATGTGGTGAATGTGGGAAAGGATTTAGACGGTCAGGTGACCTTCAGACACACATGAGGATTCACATTGGAGTCAAACCTTATCAGTGTGTTGAATGTGGTAAAGGATTTGCTCTATCAGGTACTCGGCAGAAACACATGAGGATTCACAGTGGAGTCAAGCCTTATCAGTGTGTTGAATGTGGGAAAGGATTTACACGGTCAGATCGCCTGCAGAGACACATGAAGATTCACAGCGGAGTCAAACCTTATCAGTGTAATGAATGTGGGAAAGGATTTAAACAGTCAGATGGCCTGAAGTCACACATGAGGATTCACAATGGAATCAAGCCTTATCAGTGTGATGCATGTGGGAAAGGATTTGCACACTCAAGTAACCTGCAGGAACACATGACAATTCACAGTGGAATCAAACCTTATCACTGTGTTGAATGTGGGAAAGGATTTACTCGGTCAGATCGCCTGCTGTCACACATGAGGATTCACAGTGGAATCAAGCCTTATCAGTGTGATGCATGTGGGAAAGGATTTGCACAGTCGGGTAGCCTTCAGAAACACATGATGATTCACAGTGGAGTGAAACCTTATCAGTGTGTTGAATGTGGGAAAGGATTTGCACAGTCTGGTGGCCTGAAGTCACATATGAGGATTCATAGTGGAATGAATTGATTGAATTCAGTGGCTTAAAATGTCACAGGTGTGATGAGCATGATGAGTGTGAGAACATTTTCTAATGTATTCATTAGACATGTTAGAACTGATAAATGATAAATCAATCAACATATTATCAGTTAATCCTTTGAGCCATGCATGGGCCTTTGGGTCCGAGAGACAATGCAGGTATGGGTGTGTTGTATGCATGCAGGTATGGGCGTGTTGTATGCATGCAGGTATGGTTGTGTTGTATGCATGCAGGTATGGTTGTGTTGTATGCATGCAGGTATGGGTGTGTTGTATGCATGCAGGTATGGGTGTGTTGTATGCATGCAGGAATGGGTGTGTTGTATGCATGCAGGTATGGGTGTGTTGTATGCATGCAGGTATGGTTGTGTTGTATGCCTGCAGGTATGGCTGTGTTGTATGCATGCAGGTATGGGCGTGTTGTATGCATGCAGGTATGGTTGTGTTGTATGCATGCAGGTATGGTTGTGTTGTATGCATGCAGGTATGGTTGTGTTGTATGCATGCAGGTATGGGTGTGTTGTATGCATGCAGGAATGGGTGTGTTGTATGCATGCAGGTATGGGTGTGTAGTATGCATGCAGGTATGGGTGTGTAGTATGCAGGTATGGGTGTGTAGTATGCAGGAATGGGTGTGTTGTATGCATGCAGGTATGGGTGTGTTGTATGCATGCAGGAATGGGTGTGTTGTATGCATGCAGGTATGGTTGTGTTGTATGCATGCAGGTATGGGTGTGTAGTATGCAGGTATGGGTGTGTAGTATGCAGGAATGGGTGTGTTGTATGCATGCAGGTATGGGTGTGTTGTATGCATGCAGGTATGGGTGTGTTGTATGCATGCAGGTATGGGTGTGTTGTATGCATGCAGGTATGGGTGGTTTGTATGCATGCAGGTATGGCTGTGTTGTATGCATGCAGGTATGGGTGTGTTGTATGCATGCAGGTATGGGTGTGTTGTATGCATGCAGGTATGGGTGTGTTGTATGCATGCAGGTATGGGTGTGTTGTATGCATGCAGGTATGGGTGTGTTGTATGCAGGTATGGGTGTGTTGTATGCAGGTATGGTTGTGTTGTATGCATGCAGGTATGGGTGTGTTGTATGTATGCAGGTATGGGTGTGTTGTATGCATGCAGGTATGGGTGTGTTGTATGCATGCAGGTATGGGTGTGTAGTATGCATGCAGGTATGGTTGTGTTGTATGCATGCAGGTATGGTTGTGTAGTATGCATGCAGGTATGGGTGTGTTGTATGCATGCAGGTATGGGTGTGTTGTATGCATGCAGGTATGGGTGTGTTGTATGCATGCAGGTATGGGTGTGTTGTATGCATGCAGGTATGGTTGTGTTGTATGCATGCAGGTATGGGTGTGTTGTATGTATGCAGGTATGGTTGTGTTGTATGCATGCAGGTATGGGTGTGTTGTATGCATGCAGGTATGGGTGTGTTGTATGCATGCAGGTATGGTTGTGTTGTATGCATGCAGGTATGGGTATGTAGTATGCATGCAGGTATGGTTGTGTTGTATGCATGCAGGTATGGTTGTGTTGTATGCATGCAGGTATGGGTGTGTTGTATGCATGCAGGTATGGGTGTGTTGTATGCATGCAGGTATGGTTGTGTTGTATGCATGCAGGTATGGGTGTGTTGTATGCATGCAGGTATGGTTGTGTTGTATGCATGCAGGTATGGGTGTGTTGTATGCATGCAGGTATGGGTGTGTTGTATGCATGCAGGTATGGGTGTGTTGTATGCATTCAGGTATGGGCGTGTTGTATGCATGCAGGTATGGCTGTGTTGTATGCATGCAGGTATAGGTGTGTAGTATAGTGGGTAGATGTACATCTAGGGTGTGTGTGTATGTAGTAAGGGTGGTATGTGTATGTGTAGTGTGTGTGTATTTTATGAAGTGTATGGGAGTTTGTATATGTATGTGTAGTGTGTGCATGTTTGTAGTGTATGGGATATATATATGTTGTGTAAGGCATGTGGGCATGCATAGATGTGTGGATATTAATGTTTCTTTTTGGATGAGTGTATGGATGACTGACTACGTATTGTATAAGGATGTGTTACAATAAAGGTCCCTCATAATCCCAATTCCACTGTACTTTATGTCATGGATGTGATGGATGAGACCCTAATAAACAAACTCTATCAACTGATGACAGACGAGTTATATATGTATATACACAGAGTTTTACCCAACGTACTGTTGTACTGGAGGCATTAGTCTGTCTCACAGTCCCCGAACCATATTTTTTCCTCTCTGCCCATCCCTTACCAGCTTGCTGTAGTGATATAGCTATACATTAAGCAAGTCTAGATTTGCCACAGGCTCCATCTCATTGGGGCTCCTTTTCAGTTAAATGTGCTTGTTTGTTTCTATGAAAATCATATATTAGAGACTAAGCGTTAGTCTATGAAGGTGTGTCACATCATATAATGACCCCTGATTTCATCACCACCTGGGATGACCATGAACTTTTGGATTAGTAGGTGTAGTTGTCAGGCGCGCTGACTTGGTTGTGCATGTCATCAATCCTAGTTGCTTTGATCGATGCTCATGATGTCATTCACTGGACTGTCTGTTCCAGACTTGATTATTTACAGACCACTGTCATATAGCTGGAATGTTGCTGAGTGCGGCATTAAACAACAAGCAAAGAAAGAAACAAACAACATGGATGCTGAAGAAGACAGTTCAGAGTCTGATAGACAGATAGTGAGTGAGTGAGTGAGTGAGTTTGGTTTAACGCCGCTTTTAACAGTATTCCAGTTCGTCACGGCGTGTCAGCTTAATGTGGGAGGAAAGCCCGAAGTGATGCAGGTCTCAGACGTTTACCACTTCGGTGAAACCCACGAACACGGGTATGGTGCCGACAAACCTAGAAACATAATCGGGGCGAACCGGGATTCGAACCCACAATCATAGGTTTCTGGCGTGCCCAAGGGACGCAACTCTGCACAGCGAATCGCGGCGCCTTAGACGACTGGGACACCCGTGCCCCTGATAGACAGATAGACCAATTGCTGTGGACTTCAATGACCCTTGGCTGATCCTCTCCTAAAACATCAAACAAACAAAGAGTGACCTGCTGTGTTTACCACGCGTTCTGCTGAAACTCCTTTGAACTCTTCCATACCTACAGGCCTTTTATAGTGATAAGTGGATATTGGGTGCTAGCCTTGACACATGAGAGAAGAGAATTTGAGCCTTATGGTTCAAGGCTTCACAAGTCACGCTGTAGGTCGCCTTCGACTCCCGCATTTGTACAATGTGTGAGACCCATTTCAAGTGTCGCCTGTTGTGATCAGATTGCCAGAATGGTGCTTACGACAGGTGTAAAACCACACTCACACTTTGATCATTCTCGGGCGACTAACAGGATTTGGTGGTCAGGCTCGCTGACTTGGTTGATTCATGTCATCGATCCCAATTGCGGTAGATCGATGCTCATGATGTCAATCACTGGCTTATCTGGTCCAGACTCGATTATTTACAGGCCCCTGTCATATAGCTGAAATATTGCTGAGTGTGGCGTTAAACAACAAACAAACAAACAACGTGGATGCTGATGGAGACAGTTCGGAGTCTGACAGAGAGACCAATTACTCTGTGACTTCAGTGACCCTTGGCTGATACTCTCCTAGCCAACACACGGATGATCCGGGAACCAGGGTAGGCTGCGCCTGCCTCAAGGAGTACACCTTATTGGTCATCAAATAAATATATACACTCTATGTATGTAGGTGAGCGAGAGAGTATTGTTTTGCCCTGCTCATAGCTATATCACGGCAGGGGACACCAGAAATGGGCTTCATGCATTGTACCATATGGGAAATCGACCCGCGTATTTGAACACTTGAGTGAACACTTTAACCACTAGGCCATCAGGGCCTTTGTATGTAAGTATAGTCACTCTAAGCGGTTTTATTTACATCCAGGTTAATTTGCTTGTGAGTGAGTGAGTGGGTTTGTTTTTACGCCTGTTTTAACATTATTCAAGTTATATCACGGAGTGCCAGCTTAATGTGGGAGGAAAGCCCGAAGCGATGCAGGTATCAGGCGTTTACCACTTCGGTGAAATCCACGAGCACTGGTATGGTGCTGACAAACCTAGAAACATAATCAGGGCGATCCAGGATTCGAACCCACAATCATAGGTTACTGGCGTGCCCAAGGGACGCAACTCTGCACAGCGAATCGCGGCGCCTTAGACGACTGGGCCACCCGTGCCCCCACTTTGTTTATGAAAAGCTTGTTGTCAAACACATCTGACCGTACATGGATAGACAACCTATTTCTGCACATGTACAAGTCGCCTACTATTCGATTAATGTACCTTACGTACCAAAATTTTATTTCGCCAAATGGAAAAATGTCACGAAAGGCGAGCGTAAGTAGATTTCAGTTTGAAACTGAACATTGATTTATTGTAAAATCACAATAACGGCCATTGGTAGAAATATAGATATGTTTACATTGCTATTATTACAACAGCAGATGTTGGGATTGGGGATGGCCTATGATGTTCATATACGCAAAAGAAACGCCATAGTAGTAAAATTGTAAATATCTGACAGCGTTGCCGACATCCAAACAAAATTAATACCAAAAATGATATTGGTAATTTCTGCATGGATTGGGACTGATTTGTGTGGAAAGAATGAGCTACTGCAGAAATTTGGTGAAAAGATGGAAAACACAAGTACATGAGAGCCTGGCGCCGAAACACACCAACATGACATGCACGTGCAACATCCCTTGTTGGGTTTTCATTTGCAAAGGATCACAAACTTACAGCAAGTAAACCACGAAAACATGCCACGACTGACAGTAGCCCAACCCAACAACGTCATGGGCAGACTGCAAACAAGAGAATCATCTTCAGCTGTTGACAGGTTTTTCAACGTAGAACTATGCACCGTTACAAGACAGTGGAACCGTTATCAGACACACAGGACAACACGTGTCCTTCCACGATCCGTTCGAAATAGCCACCTCTCCCTCCCCTACAACTACAGCAATACCGGGATTGGGCAGGATATCAGCCCAGACAGTGAGGAACCGTTTACGCGCAGAAGGTATTAGCGCTAGACGACCAGTTCGAGGGGTCATTCTGACGGACCCGCGTCGTCGGCTGCAACGTTATTGGTGTCAAGGTAACTGAGTATGGCCCATTAAGCAAGAAGCGAACGTGATTTTCCAACAAGACAACGCCTGGCCTCTGACAACAGCCTCTTTCAGGAATTACAAAATCCAGGTCCTGCTATGGCCCTTCAGGTCTCCAGATTTAAACCTAATCGAACACTAACGGGAACATTCCCCAGGCCGCAATTCGGGAGCTGGTTGCATCTATGGAACGACGATGCCAGTCAGTTTTGGACTCTAATGGTTGTCATACAAGATATTGAGAACGGGTGACTTTCATCTTGAAAATTAACTGTTCCGTGCATGCGTGCTATACGGAACCTGGGTCAATGACAATGATGTGTGACAATTTTGAACAATCGATTACCATCTGTTGATGATTTAATTGTATATAAATTATACAACTAAAATCACTCTTGCGTTTCTTTTTTTGATGAGTATATGGCCCTGTAATGGTGTATTTTACGTAATGAAAATGTGAGGCTTAATTTAAATGTTACTTTTAAAACCAGGCCCCTTTTTTTCAAAATGCCTCTCATATAAATATAATGGTATATTGTTGATAATATAATTTACTCTATAATTTAGTAGCCCATAACGAGTTTCTGTGCAATAAGATTACCTCTCATACAGATATAGGGGTATATATGTTAACAATATAATTTACTCTATAATTTACTAGTCCGTAACGAGTTTCTGTGCAATAAGATTACCTCTCATACAGATATAGGGGTATATATGTTAACAATATAATTTACTCTATAATTTACTATTCCGTAACGACTTTCTGTGCAATAAGAATACCTCTCATACAGATATAGGGGTATATATGCTAACAATATAATTTACTCTATAATTTACTAGTCCGTAACGAGTTTCTGTGCAATTAGATTACCTCTGGTATAAACATTGGGGTATATATTGTCTATAATATGATTTACTGTATTATTTACTATCCCGTAACGGATTTCTGTGCTATTAGATTACAAGTATATTGCAAAATGGAAAATATATTTACTTTAAATATTAAACTGTGACGAAATTATCTGTTGCCTCTCTATGCGGGAAATGTCCACCTGTGCATAAAATGGACTTGTTCTACATTGCCGAGGTCGGATTGAGGGAGTCATCAATATTTAAGTGAGTGAGTGGGTTTGGTTTACGCCGCTTTTAACAGTATTCCTGTTATATCGCGGCGTGTCAGCTTAATGTGGGAGGAAAGCCCGAAGTGATGCAGGTCTCAGACGTTTACAACTTCGGTGAAACCCACGAGCACGGGTATGGTGCTTACAAACCTAGAAACATAATCGGGGCGAACCGGGATTCGAACCCACAATCATAGGTTTCATCATCATCATCATCATCATCATCCCAAATAATGTTGATATCTCATAAGAAATAAACGACTCGTGATCGTTGTTTATCGTACAGTGAAACACTGCAGGGAGGATAAAACACTCAAGGCTGCGTCCATCTTGGTTTATTCTCCCTCCAATGTTTTAATGTACGATAAACAACTCCCACTCGTCGTTTATTTCTTTAAATCAAATTTCGCGCTTTGTTTCACTGCTAATTTTCAGCCAATCAGGTGACTCGTTCAATTCTGCCCGCGAATGAAATCTACTTCCGCTCGCCTTCGGAGACTTGTTTTGAAATCTCGCGAAATATGATTTTAATATTTCGGTAAGTAAGGGACGGACATTAATCGAATTTAAATGACTTGTACATGTGTAGAATTATATTGTCTATCGATCTACTGTCAGAAGTGTGTTTGACACTTACGTTGGATGGCGATGTAAACAAAATCGTCAAGATGGCGAGTGACGCTCCTAATCTCTACTTTATAATACTATAGTGGTAGCCTTGCACATGTCTCTAAGGCAAGAATTATTAGTTTAAATCATAAGATCTTTATTATGTTTATAATAAGAACAAGTTGTCCCTGTAAGAGACTTGAGTCCCCAGACTGTCCACATATCTAGACTTGTCAAGGAGATACACATTACTACACATCAATTTCAGCACAGCCTTGGAACAAGGCTGCTATAGTTATATAAGTCTATATATAGTTATATAGTCTGCTATACAGACCAATACCGAGTTCCTGTGCCGCAACCATGGCAAGAACAATGGTGGGCACTCAACAGTTGTTGTACTTACTGTAAAAAGACGCCAGAACAGGTGGTTTCAACATTTTCTTGGCCTTTTCATGAATACCATAAGTTATTAGTAGGATGGTACTAGGGCTGGGACGGGTAACTCGGGCACTCGGGCCGGGTGGGTACTGAGAAGGATCCAGGTACCCACAGAACTACCCGAACCCATGGTTGGTCATGTGATATATTGTTTAATGACAAAAATGATCTTCAACAATAGTGTTACACCACAAGTCACTAATGTTGGTATTTCTTTCTGACTGTGCACCCAGACGTTTATATGTTTGAATAAAGATAAAACTTCAGTCAACTTCAGTGTATGCATGACCAGATCGTTTTATATGTGTATCTAAATACATTTTGTCCAGGGCTACAGTCAAACTATTCCCAATCAGACATTTTTGTACCTATCTCTTGAGACCTACAGCGGGTACCCGGGTAGGGTCGGGTAATAGGTGGGTGGGTACCCAGGTAGTAAATATGAACTTGTCCCAACCCTAGATGGTACACTATATTATCGCGGTTGTTAATTTATAATGGATCATAATGGTGCGTGCTTACTAGCCTATTAAATATGGGAAATGTTTCTTGTTCTTTTGTGGCATCAATTAGGATTGATTGGTACAGATTTTCTTTACTGGGTTCGGTGAACAAGTACCTGTCATAAGCAACTCAAGGATGGGCAACTCTATATTATCGCAGTATGGCTATTTTGTCGTGTGTGTGGATTATGTGGCTTACATCACTTCCCGATTTGGATTATGCATGATCAATACGTATACGGCTTAGGTTGGGTCAAGGCACTTCGGGGGCGGTCGGGTAGCCTAGTGGTTAAAGCGTTCGCACGTCACGCTGAAGACCCGGGTTCGAGTCCCGACATGGGTACAATGTGTGAAGCCCATTTCTGGTGTCCCCCGCTGTGATATTGCTGGAATATTGCTAAAAGCAGCGTAAAACCATACTCACTCACTCACTCAAGGCACTTCGTCAAAAGAAAGGGGTTCTTTCCTAATCAATTACCACTGGAGGTAGGGGTAATTCCACTTCAAAAACATTCCAGAAACTATCATAAAAACATTAAGGTGAATACTTACTAGTAGACGTGACATACCTCAATGAATCCTTTATTTGACAAAGCACTGAAATATTGTGCTTAGATTTGCATAAGTAAACAGTTGACAGGGGGTGTGGATGATGAGATTTACCGATACTGCGATGATATAGAGTCATACTATTTACATCACAAGATTAATGCCCATTGTTACTTTTGGTGAAAGAAGACAATATTTCAGCTGTTTCAAGACACAAAAGTCGTCATTGCATAGGCAAAATGTAAACAGTGACACACCCATTTTCAACATCGATATGTGCGTTAATATTTCTTGCAGCTCGTCATTGTTACGAAATTGTATAGATCATACATAGAACTGATCAACCACAATGAAATGTCGCTAGTATCATCCTTATTTTAGCATCTTTGATGCCTCATTTTCTGAATTTAGTCCACCCCAGTTTTGCAATGACATTCATTGTTAAAAATTGAAATTAATCAATTGTGGCATCACAAGAAGTTGTGGTGCTGAATTCTTAAGGTGCTCTTGGTGTTTTATGGGAGGGTCGGTCATTGATTCTGATATTTGGCCTCTGGATTTTATCCATATGAAAATCCATGTATTTTGCATTAGTTTCATGTATAATATTAAATAATATAATTAATCATTAATAGATGTAACAATTTGGAAGACAATGGATTAATTTCAGTTATGTGTTTAGGGACTTGTAAAACTGTCAGGGTTAAATGTGGTAACAATAAAGATAGCATGTATCATTTGTACATAAAATGCAACACATTCATGTGGATTCCTTTTTGCACAGGATCATGCAATAGCCATTCCTCTTAAACAACATCACAAAAATCATGGTACGGCAATTAATAAACTGAACATGCTGAAGACACTTCAATGTGAGGTTACTGAAATGATTATTGCACATCTCACTATTGGCATGTTACCTTCTTGAGGTGGAAAATCACTGTGCTATGAAATTATCTGCATGTTGAGTGAGGGGAAAACATTTGCAGTATCAAGTATTTTATCATGATACATATCTTATAATCAAATTGTGAATTTAAAAAATGTTATATTTGGGATAACACTTTCTTAGTAAAATTCAGATTCTCGTACTTTTTTGGATTGAGTCCCGTCTGGGACCAAAAAAGTAAGAGAATCTGAGAAAGTGTTATCCCAAATATAACATTTGTTACATTTGTCCACTTTCTAAATGGCATTGTGTATTCAAATTGTGAATTGTCCAAGCCCTAGGTGTTCTTTTGGAAACATCTTTAGGAAATGCATTAACATGATGAAGGAAGTGACAACTCCTTTATGCTTTCAGTGAACACCTTAACATTCACAAGGTAATTAATGGAAACATGAAACCAACCACAGATTCCTGGTTCTGTCACTCAAACATATGTAATCATGGACTGCTAGAGGGAATTGCTGGAAATGGGTGATCTCAAGAAAGAACCTGTCACTGACACAGGTGTAGTCATGGACTGCGAGAGAGCATTGGTGGAGACAGGTGATCTCCAGAAAGAACCTGTCACTGACACAGGTGTAGTCATGGACTGCGAGAGAGCATTGGTGGAGACAGGTGATCTCCAGAAAGAACCTGTCACTGACACAGGTGTAGTCATGGACTGCGAGAGAGAATTGGTGGAGACAGGTGATCTCCAGAAAGAACCTGTCACTGACACAGGTGTAGTCATGGACTGCGAGAGAGCATTGGTGGAAACAGGTGATCTGAAGGAAGAACCTGTCACTGAAACACGTGTAATCACGGACTGTGAGGGAGATTTGCTGGAAACAGGTGATTTCAAGAAACACAAAGACAAAGATACTGGTTCAGCAAAGCATGCTCATAAGTGTAGTGTTTGCGAGAAAATATTTACACAATCAGGTAGTCTGAATACACACATGAGGATTCACAGTGGAATCAAGCCTCATCAGTGTGGTGAATGTGGGAAAGGATTTACCCGGTTACATCACCTGCAGACACACATGATGATTCACAGTGGAGTCAAGCCTCATCAGTGTATTGAATGTGGGAAAAGATTTAGACGGTCAGGTGATCTGCAGAAACACATGATGATTCATAGTGGAGTCACGCCATTTCAATGTGTTGAATGTGGGAAAGGATTTACACGGTCAGATCGCCTGCAGTCACACATGATGATTCATAATGGAGTCATGCCTTATCAGTGTAATAAATGTGGGAAAGGATTTACACGGTCGGAACGCCTGAAGACACACATGATGATTCACAGTGGAGTGAAGCCTTATCAGTGTGTTGAATGTGGGAAAGGATTTTCACGGACAGATCGCCTGAGGTCACACATGAGTATTCACAGTAGAATCAAACCTCATCAGTGTGTTGAATGTGGGAAAGGATTTGCAGAGTCAGGTGGCCTGAAGTCACACATGAGGATTCACAGTGGAGTCAAGCCTTATGAGTGTGGTGAATGTGGGATAGGATTTACACACTCCCATAACCTGCAGGAACATATGAAGATTCACAGTGGGGTCAAGCCTTATCAGTGTGTTGAATGTGGTAAAGGATTTACACGGTCACATCACCTTCAGACACACATGCGGATTCATACTGGAGACAAGCCTTATCAATGTGGTGAATGTGAGAAAGCATTTACTATGTCAGCCAACCTGCAGAAACACATGAGGATTCACGGTGGGGTCAAGCCTCATCAGTGTGTTGAATGTGGTAAAGAATTTACACGGTCACATCACCTGCAGACACACATGAGGACCCACAATGGAGTCACACCTTATCAGTGTGGTGAGTGTGGGAAAGGATTTAAACAGTCAGGTGGCCTGCAGTTACACATGAGGACCCACAATGGAGTCACACCTTATCAGTGTGGTGAGTGTGGGAAAGGATTTAAACAGTCAGGTGGCCTGCAGTCACACATGAGGACCCACAATGGAGTCACACCTTATCAGTGTGGTGCATGTGAGAAAACGTTTACACTGTCATGTGATCTGCAAAAACACACGAGGACCCACAATGGAGTCACACCTTATCAGTGTGGTGCATGTGAGAAAACGTTTACACTGTCATGTGATCTGCAAAAACACACGAGGACCCACAATGGAGTCACACCTTATCAGTGTGGTGCATGTGAGAAAACGTTTACACTGTCATGTGATCTGCAAAAACACACGAGGACCCACAATGCAGTCGCGCCTTGCCAGTGTGGTGAGTGTGGGAAAGGATTTAAACAGTCATGTGATCTGCAGTCACACATGAGGACCCACAATGGAGTCACACCTTATCAGTGTGGTGCATGTGGGAATAAATTTACAAGGCCAGGTGACCTGCAGAAACACATGAGGACTCACAGTGGAATGAATTGATTGAATTATGTGGCTTGAAATGTGATAGGTGCAATGAGTGAGTGAGTGAGTGAGTGAGTGAGTAAGGTTTTACGCCGCTTTTAGCAATATTCCAGCAATATCACGGCGGGGGACACCACAAATGGGCTTCACACATTGTACCCATGTCGGGAATCGAACCCGGGTCTTCGGCGTGACGAGCGAACGCTTTAACCACTAGGCTACCCGACCGCCCGATAGGTGCAATGAGTGTGAGAAAACTCTCTAATTTATTCATTAGAACTGATAAACATTATAAATGATGAATCAGTCAACACACAATCAGTCGATCCTTTGAGGCATCCATGGGCCTCTGACCTCTGAGATGGCTGTATGCATGCATGTATGGGTGCATTGTATTGTTGTGTGTTAGTATGTGTATGGATGGGAACGGTGTGTATGTGTGTGTGGATGTTGGTGTATGTAAGTATGGATCATTGAATGTGTGTGTATACATATGTGTGTATAGTGCATGTGTAAATTGTGGTGTATGTAGGTATGGGTGTGTCTGGGTGGGATGGGGCTGTGGGTATATAATTATATGTATATATATTATATTAGTGTATATATGTGTGTATACCCTAGCCCAGTGTGTATATGTATTTAGTGTAGGGGGCATATGTATGTGTAGTGTGTGTGTATGTATGTCGTGTGTGGTATATGTAGTGTGGGAGGTATATGTATGTGTAGAGTATGTATGTATGTAGTGTTGGTGCTATATGTAGGGTAAGTGTGTATGTATGTCGTGTGTATACAGATGTGTTAAAAGAAAGGTCTTGCATAACCCAAAAGAGTGGCTTTGACATTATATATGTCTTGTATGGTTGTACCGCTGTTCTTTATATCATGATTGTGGCGGGTGAGACCCTAATAAACAAATTCCCTCTCTCTCTGTGTATTCCATCTGCTCAATATAACTTCATATATCAATGAGTCCAGATAAGATTCCCTGCATGTTCATTTGTGTATACAAAGTATTATTAGCTTTAAGAAGATGGGCAATTCAGAGTGTATGCAGATCAATCATCAAGACATTTTAAGAAACACTATTATTATTTAACATCTTTGATTGTCTACACATGGGAAAAGGTCTTCAGCAACCCATGCTTGCCGTAAAAGGTTACCATGCTTTTCGTAAGAGGCGACTAACAGGATATATGATATGTATGATGTGCAGCTATTTCACATGGTGCCAAGTAAATTGAAACCAGTGTCTGACAAGCGCTAAACGGTAACAAGATACAGTTTACCGGGCATATCTGGCATTAACTGGCCCAGACTAGGGTATGGGTATTATACTATAGGGTATCTCTTCCAACCCATTATACCCCTGAAGATCCGGGATAGAATAGGTCTTCAGCAACCCACGCGACTAACGGGATCGGGTGGTCAGGCTCGCTGACTTGGTTGATGGATGTCATCGATCCCAATTGCGTTGATCGATGCTCATGATATCAATCACTGAATTTGTCTGGTCCAGACTCGATTATTTACAGACCGCCGTCATATAGCTGGAATATTGCTGAACGCGGCATAAAACCAGCCAATTCAACGAATTAATCCAATGTAATTTCAGCAAAGTCTGTACAACTCTTATTTCGAGTTTCGGTCAAGTGCATAAAGGTAAACGATTGGGTGTTGGGTGCGCGTCACTTGGTAAACCAGCACTACCCCGGTAATTATTTTCCATTATTTGTCATAGCGCCCATGGTTCTGTGAAGTGTTGGCTAACTGGATTGACTCATTACCCTAGCTTAAAGGAGATTAACAGTAAACTTGAAACAGGGGATTGAATAATTTATAAAGCATATTAATACAAGTATCTTGAAGAAAACAATTCTAATGGCAATATTTGTGACAAAAAATGTCTTCCGGAAACTACCGAGAGTTAATTAGCAGAGTTGTCGTCACGTGACGTCATAGTGGAGATTGGACTTGCAGACGATCAGTTTCTTGATAGTGTTTGGTAGCGTTCGCCATGGCATCACCTGACAATACTGTAGATAAAAAAAGCTGAATTTTCGCTCAATGACCTTGCACACATTCATCCATATCGATATGAGCCAGTGGTTGTCAAAATAGTCTTGACAGCAGCGAGGAAAGCGAGTAAGATCTACCAAGTGAAAACGATCAGTCTCATGTCAACAGGGAAAGACTCATCTTCCCGAGGCAAGGGCGTTAACTGTCTATAAAAGTCCAGTTTCCACACTTGCTGAACTAGGCTGGAATATCCAGGCTCGATCGTAGCGCCACCAGTGGCTTTAAGAGGTATGTCCCTTCCGTGTCCCTCCCACTGGCCAATCAGATTCCACCTCTCATATCATATCTTATCTGATCGATATCAAGATCTATTTGACGCACTTCGCGTGGTAAGACCCGTTTAATTTCAATATAGATCTTGTTTGTTTGTTGTTTAACGTTGCTGAGTGCGGCGTTAAACAACAAACAAACAAGATTTATATTGAAATAAAATGGGTCTTTCTTCGCGAGGTGCGTCAAATCACTTGAGTACCTTCATTATAAACATGAAAAGATTTGCAAAATATCTGTCGACGCCCTGTTGGATGTAAATATGCTTTGCAAACCCTGCATTCGACCGAAATCTGCGTTGAAATCCATGTCGTTTGCGAAGGGGATGTCTAGTCCGTCACGCGATTTTGATTGGACTATGAATAGACTCGTCCAGCAAAATGTAACTCCGGAATTTCAGCCTAGTTCGGCGAGGGTGGTAACTGGACTTTTATAGTCAGTTAACGCCCTTGCCTCGAGAAGATGGGGAACACAAGGGAACACAATCTGGTGTTAAACGCTATACTGACATATCTAAATAAAATGGGTATATATATGTATAAGAGAGAGACACACAAACGAAGAATAAAATATATTTACTTAAAAACAAATAAATGAACTAAAACTGACAATATCACACTAAAAATGAAATTATAATTTATCTCATAATGTACTCCAAATTCACAAATATTTAACCTAAAACATTTTTTGTGAATCAACTTATGCCAGATTTTGACAGAAAATGACGGCGGTGGATTCAGAGGCGGGTTTCAGGGGGTTAACCCCCCCCCCCACACACACACACACACACACACATACACACCGTTTGAGAAAAACTGGACCCGCCTCTGATGATTAATTTTTTAAATTTGTTTCTCATTTTTCATGACTAAGACAACTTCTTTTATATAATCTATCCTGTTTTCATATAACAATGGTGTATATAATAACGTGGTGGTGAGTATCAACGTGTTTTATATTCGTTTTTTTTAATGAGGACTCAATTATTTCAGGGCTTACATAAACTGTGCATACAGAAGATTCTCAACTTCAAGTCTAGTTTATTAAAAAAAAAGTCTCGATAATGAGGCTGCCAACCCCCTTTTGGCACGCGGGATTCAAGGATCTGTTTAGAGGTCCTCCGTTCTCATCGAAAGGGCAACTATGCTTGTCGCGACTAACGGGATCGGGTGGTCAGGCTCGCTGACTAAGTTGCATGTCATCGTATCCCGTTTGCGTGGATCGAGGCTCATGATGTCAATCACTGGATTGTCTGGTCCAGACTCTATTTACCGACCACCGTCATACAGCTGGAATATTGCTGATTGCGGCGTTAAACAACAAACAAACAAAACAAGATAGCTGAAATGAAAGAGAAATTAAAATTGACAGAGAAAGAAAATAATTTAACTGGTGTAAGACTGTGGAGTAGAGATGGCTCTCTGTATAATTAAGACAAATTAAATAAAATACATTGTCAGATACATCTGAATTTCTCACAAACATGCTGGCTGATAACGGTCAGTCGATCGGAGTTCAACTCTAGGCATGGTTGTGGCCACCGAACACAGTGGGGAGCTTTGACTGGTGGCAGAAGAAAAAAGATTGGCCGCCTCACATGTATAGAGAATACTACACTCTTTCTCGTTAGATACCATTTATACGAAACGAGTGGAGCGAATGTGAGGTCAAATACCATAAAAAGTTCACGAGTTTCGTAAAGATTGTATCTAACGAGAATGAGTGCTGTATTTTATTTTTCACCCACTTTAAATATATATTTAAGTGTAATTAAGAATTGACCTTCACTTTGTGTGAGTTCATTGGAGTATGAACCTTCATAGAGTGAGGGCCAAACTGCGTGCGACGTTCATACAGTTTGGCTCTCACTCTATGAAGTTCGCCAAAGACATTCATGTTAACTGTACCACCCTTTACAGAAGACGTGAAAATCAACAAACTCAAGTATGCTTGCATGTCAGTGACAGCTTCGAACGAAGGGCAAGGTCACCACTGGAATAAGAAAAGACAACCGTGATCTACTAACAGCGTATTACGCTAGAGATAATGATTGTTATTGTTCACATTTGGGATGTTTGGGGCTATATAATCAGAAGTCAGGCACACTTCTACGGAGTTTTCGAATGATTTGTATCAGAAATGTCGTGAACAAACAACACCTGAAAAGGTGCCACAAAGTACGTACGCTTCGAAGGGGACACTGATGGCACAACTGGACCATCCCAGGTAAGCCTATAGATGTCTGTCCAGATGGTTTAAACTGATTTCATTTCACCACGCTTATCCTTTTACGTTAAATCAGATTGAAAGTTACGAAGGTTGTCGGGTGCGTCACGCTCATGGGGGACCCTGAATCCAGCCTATTTATAAGTAGTCGTACATTGTAAATGGATATAGATTTCTAGCTCGATTATATAATGTCTGTAGAAGCACTACGCATAACTAATATAAAAAGCAAACCGAATTTGATGCGTGTGGCTATCTTGTTTGGTTTGATAAAGTGTTTGTAAATATCTCTCGAGCGCTTTCATGAAATTGCTTCAGTTCTTCCTTGTAGTGGCAAAATGAATGACGTCTGGTGATATTTTTATAAATGAAATAAGCAGTCCCGGTGTGACAGAGGTCACGGTTATCCAGTCAAAACGAACAAAACTAGGTCAACCTAGTACGACACACGTGCGACGTACGGATTTGGTATCTTACCACCTGTAACTTCACCACGTGGGTAATAAACATATCGACTCCTAGCTTGGCGCAAGTTACGACGCGCGTTGGGATCCGGGAACCAGCTTAGCAGCGATCACGGGCTATCGCTGTCAGGAGCTTAGGAGAGATTGACCCTTCTTTTGGAAAGGAGAGCAGCGATAGACTGGTTCCCGTTCATTCCTGCGACAGACGACACCAAGATAAATGCGGGTGTCACGCGCTGTGAAGGAGCTTGGAAATGACTCCATCAACAATATGGCGGCATCCATATTTTTTCAGCTGTTTATGTTATTAAAGAAAGACGCCAGAGCAAATGGTTAGACAATTTTCTTAGCATTTACATGAATACTGTATGTATACGTGAAGAGAATAACGACCATTGTTACTTTTAGTGAAGGAAATAATTATATAAGCTGTTTTGAGACACGAAAATCGTCGTCGCATTGGCGAAATGTAAACAGTGACAAACGCCCCATTTTCAACAGCGATGTGTGCGTTAATATTTCTTGCAACTCGCTAGTGCCCCGAAATCGTATGTATTATACATAGAATTGAACGACCACGAAAATGAAATGTCGTTAGCGTCTTCATTTTAGTATCTTTGATGACGCAAATATCGCCGATTATGCCACATTTGATGATTTTCTCCGTATTTAGCCCGAATTTATACAAAGAAATCTAGTTTTACATAGATCTAAAACGCATGGTTGAAATTAATCAGTTAGATCTATGTCCCGTTAAAGGACTTTGTGCGGCTTAATTCTAAAGATGCTCCTGCTGATCGGGTCACTGGTTCTGATATTTAGCCTCTGGATTTTTATAAATCCCTTTATTGTGCATGTGTTTCATCGTTACGTTTTGAAATTAATCACAAATATATCTATTGATTTGGAAGACATGATGGATAAAATTTAATGATGTGTTTTGGGATTTGTAAGATTATCAGGGCTAGTTGGTAAATAATAAAGATGAATATATTCATTATTTTTAATTAAATCTGTACAATGGCATGTATCATTTGTACATAACTTTGCAACATATCCATGTGGATTCTTTTTTTCACACAGGATCATTCAATAGCCATTGCCCTGAAACAATATAACAGTATTCATGATATGGCAATGAATCAACTGAACATGCTGAAAAAGATTCAGTGTGAGGTTATTGAAAAGATTATTACACATCATCCATCTGGCATGTCAACTCCTGGATATCAGTATTATCTCCTGAAAATCATTGTGCTATGATATTATATGTGTGTTGAATGTGGGAAAAACATTGACAGTATTTGGTATTTTATTATGATATATATCATATTATCAAACTGTATGGTCCCAGCCCTAGGTGTTTTTGTGGGAACATCTTTAGGAATGCATTAACATGATGAGGGAAGTGACAACTCCTCTATGCTTTCAGTGAACACCATAACATCCACAAAGTAATAATGGAAGTACAAAGTCAACCACAGAATCCTGGCTCTGTCACAGTAACATGTGTAATGGCGGACTGCAAGAGAGAATTGCTGGAAACAGGTGATATCAAGAAAGAACCTGTCACTGACACTGTAACCACTGACTGTGAGAGAGAATTGGAGGAAACAGGTGATCTCAAGAAAGAACCTGTTACTGATACAGGTGGAAACACTGACTGTGAGAGAGAATTGCTGGAAACAGGTGATGTCAAGAAAGAACCTGTTACTGACACAGGTGTAATCACTAACTGTGAGAGAGAATTGATGGAAACAGGTGATCTCAAGAAAGAACCTGTTACTGACACAATTGTAATCACTAACTGTGAGAGAGAATTGCTGGAAACAGGTGATCTCAAGAAAGAACCTGTTACTGACACAGGTGTAATCACTAACTGTGAGAGAGAATTGATGGAAACAGGTGATCTCAAGAATGATTGTGGTTGTCCAGCAGAGCATGAGTGTAGTGTGTGTGAGAAAATATTAGCAAAATCAGGTACTCTGCAGACACACAAAAGGATTCACAGTGGGATCAAGCCTTATAAGTGTGGTGAATGTGGGAAAGAATATGCACTCTCAAGTCACCTGCATAAACACATGAAGATTCACAGTGGAATAAGGCCATATCAGTGTGTGGAATGTGGGAAAGGATTTAAACGGTCAGGTGATCTTCAGAAACACACAAGGATTCACAGTGGAATTAGGCCTTATCAGTGTGTTGAATGTGGGAAAGGATTTGCCCAGTCAGGTGATCTGAAGAAACACATGAGGATTCACAGTGGAGTCAAGCCTTATCAGTGTGTTGCATGTGGGAAAACATTTACACAGTCAAGTGACCTGCAGACACACACGAGGAATCACAGTGAAGTGAGGCCTTATCAGTGTGTTGAATGTGAGAAAGAATTTAAACAGTCAAGTGGCCTGCATGCACACATGAGGATTCACAGAGGAATCAAGTCTTATGAGTGTGTTGAATGTGGGAAAGCATTTATACACTCAAGTAACCTGAGGAGACACATGAAGATTCACAGTGAAACCAAGCCTTATCAATGTGATGAATGTGGGAAAGGATTTTCACGGTCACAATACCTGAACTCACACATGATGATTCACCGTGGACTGAAGCCTTTTCAGTGTGTAGAATGTGGTAAAGGATTTACACGGTCAGAACGCCTGCAGACACACATGAGTGTTCACAGCGAAGTGAGGCCTTATAAGTGTGGTGAATGTGGCAAAGGATATAAACAGTCAAGTGGCCTGCAGGCACACATGAGGATTCACAGTGGAATCAAACCTTATCAGTGTGTTGAATGTGGGAAAGCATTTATACACTCAAACAGCCTTAAGTCACACATGAAGATTCACAGTGGAGTCAAGCCTTATCTGTGTGTTGAATGTGGGAAAGGATTTATTCACTCACATGACCTGCAGAAACACATGAGGATTCACACTGGAGTCAAGCCTTATCAGTGTGTTGAATGTGGGAAAAGATTTACACAGTCAGGTGACCTGCAGACACACATGAGGATTCACAGTGGAGTCAAGCCTTATAAGTGTGGTGAATGTGGGAAAGTATTTACACAGTCAAGTGGCCTGCATGAACACATGAAGATTCACAGTGGAATCAGGCCTTATCAGTGTGTCGAATGTGGGAAAGGATTTAAACTGTCAGGTGACCTGCAGAAACACACAAGGATTCACAGTGGAGTCAAGCCTTATCAGTGTGTTGTATGTGGGAAAGGATTTACTCAGTCAAGTAACCTGCAGAAACACACGAGGACTCACAGTGGAGTCAAGCCTTATCAGTGTGATACATGTGGGAAAGGATTTACACGATCAGATCACCTGCAGACACATATGAGGATTCACAGTACAGAGCATGATTTGGATACATAAAAGATGCACCAGTGCAACCTATTATAGAAACGTGCAACCTAATATTGTGACTAAACTTTGTGTCTGACTTAGCCTTACTTTTCCGCACAACAACGATCTTTGAACACAGTGAATACTTCTAAGCTTTATGGACCATGCTACATCATTAATCCCTGGGTCATGTGTAATTTGTCATCCCTTCTTGGGCTTGACATCATCAAACTGTGGGTACTTCAAGATTAGGTGCACATCCTATTACGTTTAACAGCAGTTTTTATGTAAAATCATGAAAATCATCACCATACCCGTTTGCATTGGTTTCACCAAGTGGTAAACATCTTAGACCTGCATCACTGCGGGCTTTCCTCCCACATCAAGCTGACACGCTGTGATATATCTGGAATACTGTTTAAAGCGGTGTTAAACCCAACTCACTCACTCACTCTAGATGTAGGTACAGGTCTTCAAGTTGTAGGCGTAGATGCAGGAGCTTCTCCCTAGTTCACTGGGATACCATTCTGACTCATAGAGGGTGCCTTTATCCCCAACAATGAGATATCTCTACCAGAACTGGACACACACTTAAGCTTATCTCAAGTCCTGGACTGGATGGCGGACTGCCTCGGCACTATTACGCTGTCCCCTGACCATGTTTGGCTGAGAAGGACACTATTTGGTCAGGACAAAAATTCATGACAACGATTCCCTGTTCAAGACCTGGCGATCAGAGGATGCTACACTTACGTCCTATCCAACAGTTCCTAGCACCACCCATCAGACGTTGGCACCCTTGCATATCCATCACACTACCTTGACCCCTCAGGTCTCATCTCGGCTCAGGACCTGGCGATCAGAGGATGCCTACACTTACGTCCTATCCAACAGTTCCTAGCACCACCCATCAGACGTTGGCACCCTTGCATATCCATCACACTACCTTGACCCCTCAGGTCTCATCTCGGCTCAGGACCTGGCGATCAGAGGATGCCTACACTTACGTCCTATCCATCAGTTCCTAGCGCCACAATCAGACATCAGGACCCTTGCGTATCCATCACTCTGCCACTGCACCTCAGGCCTCATCTCTAGTGGTGGATGGTAGACACCTCTCTACAAGGTTTGGGTGTGCATCTTAGAGACCAGATGACTTCAGGGCTTTGGTCCAACGTGCAGCGCACATGGAATATAAATAGCCGAGAGTTGGAGGTGCTCATCCTGGCGATATTACACTGGCAGGAGCGCCTCTGCAACACTCAACTCGCCATCTCAACCAACAATATCATGGTGGTGTGTAGGCAACCGAGGGACAACTCGCTCACACCCCTTGCTTCAGCAGATGTTCCGATTCTTTCATCTGGTGGATTGCCTGGGCCTGCAATTCCTGGTCCAACATATCCCAGGGTGTGCTGGGACTTTATTGCTAAGAATCAACATCCAGGACTGGCTGACAGATCCTTCACTATCCCACCTCTTTCTTCGATGGTGGGGGTTGAAGATTAGGAAGAACTCCTTCTGTGCCCAGTCAGGGCTTATCCGATGCTCCAACCCCGGAAACGTCTTTTCATCCCCCGGCGGCTGTTGGGTAGCCTAGTGGTTAAAGCGTTTGCTCGTCTCACCGAAGACCCGGGTTCGATTCCCAACATGGGTTCAATGTGTGAAGCCCATTTCTGGTGTCCCCCGCCGTGATATTGCTGGAATATTGCTAAAAGCGGCATAAAACCATACTCACTCACTTTTCATCCACATCTCCAAGACATCCATCTCCTTTTGATTAAGCCGTCATTCTTCAAGCCTATGCGGCCACTGGCCTGAATCTTCTGAGAGCCAAATCTGTACCGTCCAATACAGTAGCATTGAGGAGTAGTGTGGGATAAGTTAAACAATGAAGTAAAATCTTGATATTTTACATTTGTTTACTTATCCTGCATTACTATGTCTAAGACCCACCCGTTGCAGAGCTACTTTCCCAAGATGTATTCAGATGTAATGATTAAGCAGTGCATGTACTACAGCTATGTGACATTATCACTTCTGTGGTCACATGGTTGCTGTGTGTCACAGGTTGGAACAACTTCCTTTTCAGCTGGACCTCACACAGCTTCGTTTTTCAATAGAAAACACTATATGCATTCAGGAGTAATGCAACATAAGTATACAAATGTCAAAAATATTTAGATTTTACTAAGTTCTTTAAGTCTAGCCTTACAGTGTAACCAAGCCGTATCAGTGTGTTAAATGTGGGAAAGGATTTACACAGTCAAGTTGCCTGAAGTCACACATGAGGATTCACAGTGGTATACAGTAAAACCTCATTATCTCGAACTCGTTATCTCCATTGTACCGATATCTCGCACCTTTTCACTGGGTCCAACCGCCTTATTTTTATAAACATATAAATTCAAGGTTTTTATGGGCTTGAAAAGGTCTTGAATTTTAAGGTCCCACTTGAAAAGCCTTTATTGTTAGAGTGAACATTTAAAAGCCTTGAAAATCACCAACGTTGCTTGAAAAGCCTTGAATTTGTACAAAACAACAAAACCTGTTTAAAAAAGGTATTAAAATTCATGACAGACCTAATTTATTATATTTGTTGGTTTTGAAAATAAATCCTGTTGGAAAATTGACCGTGATGTTGGTTTTATTACTAATATGCTGGATGAAAATAATATTGTCAAACTAAGGCTTAACCCAGCTCAAAAGCCTTGGAAATGACTGTTGAAAACCTTGAATTTCATTTTTTCATATCTGTTTGAATGTGGAAATTTATCCATTTATTTATAATTTGAGATTAAGATACATTGCCATCTGCAACCTTGGACTGGTCCCAACTTTGACTTGACAATAGAATTTTGTACCTTATCTGGAAGCTGACATAGCCACATTAACAGGCTTGAGAAGGACAAGTTTATATAGTGCCTTTCTCCACACATCTGACATTGGTGTAAAAGTTCAGAGCAGTTTAAACCAATTGTTCAACCAATTATGTACTTGTCTCTTAATCCAATTGTAATGGTAATCTTTATTGTCAAATAAAAATGATATGTGTATATGTGTGTATGTGTGTCTCTCATAACCCAAAGACCAAGGGTATAATATGTCATCAGCAGACCCATGCTTGACCTAAAAGGCAACTATGCTTGTCGTAAGAGGGGACTGACGGGATCAGGTGGTCAAGCTCGCTGACTTGGTTGATGCATGTCATCAATCCCAATTGCGTGGATTGATGCTCATGATATTAGTCACAAACCAACGAACAAATCTCATAACCAAAAATACATATGTATGGGTATTGTGTGTATGTGTAGATTGTGGTGTATGGATGTATGAAAGTGGGGTGGGGGCCGTAGGCATATATGTGGGTGTGTGTCTATATGTGGGTGTGGGTATGTGAAGGGTGGTATGGAAGTATGTTTTTTTGGTTTTTTTAACGCTGCATTCAGCAGTATTCCATCTATATGACAACAGTCTGTAAATAGTTGAGTCTGGAACAGACAATCCAGTGATTGACATCATGAGCATCGATCTTTGCAATTGGGATACGTTGACATGCATCAACCAAGTCACCTATATAGCCAGACCACCCCATCCTGTTATTCGCCTATTATGTCAAGCATGGGTTGCTGAAATTTTTTAGCAACTTGTTACTCTATTCTTATTCAACATCTTTGATCGTCTACACATACGAAAAGGTTTATTAGAAATACTTAAGTATCTTAAATTAGTTTTTTATTTTAATGTTGACTTGAGACATCAGATGCACCTCCTGAGTGAGAATGAGTGTTTCAACAGTATTTCACTGTGGATAGATAATCCGCTATTCTGCGTTGCGAGCATATCATTCTATATTACCCGTGTTGTTTGTGACGAAATATGGGGGCACGGGTGGCCCAGTCGTCTATGGCGCCGCGATTCCTGTGCAGAGTTGCGTCCTTTTGGCATGCCTGAAACCTATGATTGTGGGTTCGAATCCTGGTTCGCCCCGATTATGTTTCAAGGTTTGTCAGCACCATATCCGTGCTCGGGAGTTTCACCGAAGTGGTAAACGTCTGAGACCCGCGTCACTTCAAGCTTTCCTCCCACATTAGTGAGTGAGTATGGTTTTACGCCGCTTTTAGCAATATTCCAGCAATATCACGGCGGGGGACACCAGAAATGGGCTTCACACAATGTACCCATGTCGGGAATCGAACCCGGGTCTTCGGCGTGTCAAGCGAACGCTTGAACCACTAGGCTACCCGACCGCCCCTCCTCCCACATTAAGCTGACAAGCGATATATAACCGGAATAATGTTAAATGCGGCGTTAAACCCAACTCACTCCATCTGACAAAATATAAATAAATATGACTTTCCGGATCACAATCTGGTGTTGCACGACGTCACATAAACCCAACATTGATGGCATGAACAACCAATGACGACATCTTCAAATATTTACGACTTTAACTAACCCATCAGCATGAAGCAAGAATGTAGATATATAATGCTCGTTTTGAATTACTGAAAATAACTGGAAATAATTTCACCGAAATCTGCGACCCTAACAGTAATATGGCACAGTGTTGACAGGCTGTTCTGTGATATACAGTCCTGTATGGTGCTTGGCATTAGGGATAAAACAAGGATTGGTCGGGAGTCAATACGATGTGTCTGAGTGGAGTTCTGTAACCGTAGGAGTCGGGTACCATACCTTCTTCCTAGGCCACTGTTCTTATCAATCACTCCTTGGCTCCGGGGATAATGTAGTTCTCTCAAAAGTACAAGTCAGATTTGTTGCTTAAGTCCATTTATTGGAGACTGAGGTTTTGATAACGACACACACAAGGTCCTCGGATGTTTTTCTGTAGAATGACTTGTTTATGCACATCAAATATCTGAGGGGATGTGTAGAAAAGTGTGATAGTTCTTCTGATCAACTCCTAACTCTAACACCTTTTCTGATCCGATATGCAGAGAGAACCTCTCTCTCTCTATATATAGCCATGAGTATACGAATCTCCTCACCACTCACGGATAACTA